GGATCCTTTTTTCCAATAAAATTATAGAAAATTTCCATAAAGAAAGACCCCATATTTTCCCAGCTGATTAGTAGCAGAGACCATCGTATTTCAATAAGCAGAGAAACAATGGAGAGTTGGTGCTAAATAGTTATATCGTGGTCGGTGCTGGATAGCAGTATCGTGGTCAATTCCAAGAAGGAAAAATATTTATATTATCAACTTTGCAAGTTTAAACAAGAATGAACGTTGATGTTGCCATAGAAATTGTTAACGCAAAATAGGATTAAGTAAAATCCTGTCATCGTAACATGAAAAAGAAAGTAGAGAGAGATTTAAAGAAACAAGAAATTGAACATGGAGGCCTGAAAAATGGAAACTCTCTATTTTGATATTCATCATTTTCAATGTTGAGTCATTTCTTTTGTTTAGTATCTTAAACTCTACCAAATTATTGTGACAACTTTCTAATTATCATCTTGATCATGAACAAATAAATGAAACTAAATAAAAAGGATTCCAATTACTGGAAAGATTCACTGAAAAAAAAAAGAAGAAGAAGAGTAATTATGGGCACGTAACATAATCATCCGAGGTCGTCGATGATTCACTCTGAGCGTAAGGACCAAGCTTGTGATGGCATGGAGAAGGTCCTGAAGGCGGCACTGGACCTCGCGGAAGCCGGTTATCAAACGTGTAATAATAATTTGTATCTTTAATCGGTCTTGTGCATCTTCCTGTGGAGACCAATATTGCCAAAACAATAACAAAGAGAAGAAAAACAAATCTCAAGCCCGCCCGTAAAGAAGACATGATACTTTTTCTTTGTTCTTGCTCAATTGATCTGCAGGTTAGTTACTTTTGTTTTCTTATGAAGTAAGAATGTGTACAAGAAAGAAGCATACATATAACTCAGATAGAAATTTAGAGAGGAAGAGATTACGGGTGAATTAGAATGCCGTTTTTGTTGGACTAAAAGGGATGGTTGGAATGTTATAACTTTAAAAGTTGGAGAGTGGGCTATAATTTGTATCTTTGAATATTAACTTGTTAAGTGAAAGTCATGATATGTCTGAAACCAAAGCACTAGCAGCCATTTTAGAAACAAGGGAATAATTGATTCTGATGTTCTGTGGCTTTCATACTCCTCAATTTACTGCCATGCTAGCTAGTGGTACTCTTTTCAAAGTTAGTTTTCCACCAAGTATTAAAAAAAACAGTAGAAATTGAATATATATATATATACACATATGATGTGCTTTGCGATAGGAGTATAACTGAGATATCTTTCAACATTTTCTTAAACTTGATAATTGCATCTTCAACATTGATCAATAACGTGAATGGAATGTTTCTTGTGTAAAGAGAAATCTTTAATGTTTGTTAATGAAATCAGGTTCATTATGGGTGAATTGGTGCATGGTTTACAATCCAAGGGGTAGAAGTTTACGGCCCTTGAAAATCCCCAAATGAATATTCTTGGGCACGGAGAAAACTTTATGAAGTTTAGAAATCTTATTTTAGGATCACATAAGTTATTGGTAATGAACAGAATGTTCTTCTTTGGTGGGACTCGTGGCATCCTCATGGATCTTTGGTCATTGAGTACGGTCAGAAGATTATTGTTGAGTCTAAATTGCCTGCTATTTAAAAGTTTTCACGAGTTATTAATGGAAACGATTTGTCAATAGGCTGCTGCTAGGTCGGACGCAATGGAAGCTATTCAAAGTGCTATATCCGGCTTAATTATTTTATCCTCCTACTTTAATGAAAGATAATATTGAATGGAAGGCTACACTTGATGGCCATTTTCCTGTTAAGAATGCTTGGAATTTTATTAGAAAGAAAAAGAACATAGTTGATTGGTTCAAATTGCTTTTGAGGCTTTTGTATATTCCAAAATGGTTTACTCTTTGAATAGTTTTAATTCAAACTTAATTTTTTTTATGTTGTTTTATTTGAAATATATTGTTATAATATCATTAGTTGTTAATTAACGTGACATATCTATTCTTAAATACATAACATATATTATATGTAAAATATTAATATAAAACGCCTATTTTATAATATATGATGCATCTTATACGTGGAATCTAATAAAAGAATAACATATAAGAATGATTGCACATATTTTGAAAAATAAAAATATTTTTTATTATTACTTCGAAGATAAAAAAAATTATAAATAACAAACCAAATTGGAAAAAAATTAATTAATTTTAAGAATAAACTAACTTTTACAAGGTCTAAAATAAAAAATTTTGACAAATTATTTTTAATAAATATTAAATAAATGGGTATAAAAAAAAGTATATATAAAAAAAAACTACAAATATTCGACCAATTCGAAGTGAAAAATAAAATAGTTCTCTTAACTACATTTTCTTCTTTAATATGCATAATTAGCTATTCGTCAACCATTCGATGAAGCCCGAGTCAGACACGACTAGCCGAAGTGGAAGGAGCAGGTGACTGAACTTTGGTATTCTTATTCTCCGACTGGCAAGAACGGACGAAAATTGGGAGTTTCAAGGTCTGTAATTAGTCCTTGATGGCCTAGAGGACCTATTGGAACTCCATTAGAGCTTCAAAAAGTGGTGACTTGGCTAAAAAATTGAAAAGAGGATCGAAGGGGAAATTTTGGCCAAAAAATGGAGACTGTTTACGTCGATTTTGGCGCTTTTTTTGTTGTCTGCAACAACTGTTACGACTGGGCTGATGCGGTTGTTCTTGGTGGTTTCGGCAAGTTCTCTTACTTGGCCGGCCAAAATTCCGGAAACAATTAGAAGAAGAGAGAATTCAGCCAGAAGAGAGAGAAATTGATTTTTTTTTTAATTTCCTTTTATACTTTTTATCGTTTTTTTTTTCACTTTTTGTTATTTCCTAATTATATTTTTTTGATTGAAGTATGCATCTAGATATCTCTTTATCTAAGTTGTTTTATTTAACTATGAATTATCTAATCTCAAAATCAGATTAAGTTAATCCAGAAAAATTAGATTAAGTTTAATTAAAATAGAATATGATAACATGTATGCTTTTATTCCTTTTATCTCCTTTTGTTTTATTATTTTTTACTCTCAATTTCTTTTTACTCATTTTCTTTTCTTAATTTTTTTTTGTTCTGATTTATTTTCTCTTTGCTCTATTTTTCTTAACACTCCATTAGTTTCACGGAAAGAAAATACTCATAAAAAAACTCAAATGAAAGGCTTAAAATTTTGAAAAAAAAAAATCAAATAAATCACATAAAACGTTTATTTTGGAATTCTTAATTTAAAACATATATTTTTTTATCTTGATTTTTATTGAATATATCTTCTGTAAAAAAATAATTATTTTTTTAACTTTTTACACATATTAAAAAGATTATTAATTGTTATATTACAGGAGTATTTTAGTTTTAGTTAGTTTTGATCTATGAAATCCTTCCGTTCATACATACATACATATATATATAACGGGAAGATCGAGGTTCTCGTTGATGAAGGGTTCAAAGAATTTGCTACGTACCCACCTCAATTAGCTTATGATTAGTTTGGTATTTTGTCCACTTTTGAATATGTGACTTCCTTCATTCAACGTGGTCGGTTGCATACAGACATTGATTTTGGAGGAAAATGTCTTGGAATCTTATGTCGTTATGGACTTGGATTTATATTTGCCGCTTATATATATACATGTATGGTTCCGAATTTGCCACTTTTAAATTTTAATTACCACGTGGCTAATAATGTAGCAGAGGGTATGACTTATTATATGGGTATATTTAAGGATGCGAGCCAAAGGGAGAAAACCCTAGATTTATTAGGAAAATGTGCAAAAAAAGTACCTTATGATTTAAGCCAACTGAACTAGAGCGACTGAATTTCACGTTTTGGCGCTTCAGTAGCTTTCTGGTTACCTTCCTTAGCTTTTGCTTTATCATATCAATTAACCTCAACAGGCTTCGTGTCTTCCAACTTTTTAATTGACTTTTTTTTTATTAAAAAGAAAAACGTCTAGCTAATTCTTGGATTTGTAACAATTAGTGTATTGACTCTAATGCTCAAAGAAACACATCTAGCACCTAAAAAATAAATTAATATTTCATATGCTTTGAGGTTACAATTACTTGAGTATACAGCAATTTAACGAAAAAAGTTGTAGAATATGCATTAAGAAAAGACAAGGAATGTTTTCTATCATAAAAAAAATAATAAAAAGAAAATTATCCAAAGCAACTGAAACCATTAGATGGCTCGCAAAATATAACAAGATTAATAAACGTTCGAGTTTGATTATGAAATAACATTATATTCTCAACCTCTAGAAATTAACAATTTTAAAAAAAATGTGTCAAAATTAAAAACACGATGGATTAATATATTAATCTGGAAAACGGGAGTATATTTTTAACAATTTCCCAAGAACTTCAGAGAGTTGAGCCCAGCAAACTCCCAACAATTTTAAGCTAGATTTGAATTGGGCCATAGTTGTACCATCTATTGGGCTGGCAAACAGCAATTAAAATAATTCAGAAACGGAAATTAAGAGAGACGGATTGATTTCCCCTTCTCTTTCTTTTCCTTTATTAGTGAATTAAAAAAAAAAAAAAAAATTGGCTGCTTCGGTTTGTTCATTTTCAGTTACTTGTTATATGTAGTGTCAGGAAAGACACATCTCACATGTTCTCAGTCTCTGGCTGCTGAACTAGTTACCTGCAAACGTGAGTTCTTTTGGCCCTCTTTCTTTTTGTTTTATTTCTTTGTCCAATTCTTTTTCACCGTTTTTATTAACATTTCTTTACTTTATCAACCACCCTTTGGCCTTTTAATTAGCATCTACTACTTCAATTTCTGGGTTTGCGTGGATTTTTAATATAAGCACAAAAAACACAACAATTGTTCTTGTGGAGATGAATTTTGCTTCTTAATCCAATTTTGTTAATGTATGGTTAATGCTGTATAGGTGGAGGGTTGATGTGCATTTGATAGTAGCCCGCATACTTCGAAGAGCTTCAGACAAATATACAATTAATGTCTGGGGTCATTTTTAGTTCTTCTTTAATTTTACCTCAATTATATTCAACTTCAAGGTTTGTTTTGCTCTTTTATTCACAAGTATATTTCTGTGCCTTTTTTTTTTTTTTGGTGGTTTTGAACATTGTTTTATTTACCTTAAGTGGTTTGGATTGTTTCAGGCGGATTGTTAAAATGTCTGTAACTGAAACCAGAAATCCTGGAATGTCGTTCGAGTCGATGGTAATAAAACCTCCTTCACATCCTACATATGACTTGAAGGGTGTAATTAAGTTAGCTCTTGCTGAAGATTCTGGGGATCGAGGTTTTGATTCATCTCTTTTTAAGTTCTCATTTTTTCAAGTCTATCTTTGTTCTTCTCACAGACAAATTTTGAACGAGTTCCATGTTGTGTGTATTCTAGAATGTCTCGTTTGCTTAGTTGAATCCTCAGCTTGTTCGTTCTGATCTCTATGGTTCTTACACATATGTTACGTTGTTGGAAAGCTCCTAAAGATGGTTCCTAACTCCTCGTATAAAGATGCTTCTAAAGCAACATTTGTGGTTGAATGCAGGAGATGTGACTTGTTTGGCAACTATTCCTATTGACATGGAAGTGGAAGCCCATTTCTTGGCAAAGGAGGATGGAATCGTTGCTGGAATTTCACTTGCGGAGATGATATTCCATGAGGTTGATCCCTCGCTAAAGGTATTGATGCTCTCACTTTTGTGTTTCTTTTATTGTTGTGGTTTGCACCCTCGATCAATTTTGACATAGACCTTACATTAGGTGGAGTGGTCTCGAAAAGATGGAGATTATGTTCAGAAAGGACTGCAGTTTGGAAAAGTCTCTGGTAAACTACTGGAAATTAAGAAAAGCTCCCTCATGGTATTTGAAGTACTCGTCGACAAGTTATTATCATATTCTTATTTCTCTGAATGCAGGACGGGCCCACAACATTGTTGTTGCTGAAAGAGTAGTGCTAAATTTTATGCAGCGGATGAGCGGAATAGCAACTCTGGCGAAGGTCTATGTATTTCCTAGAATTTGGAAATAGAATCAAGTAATATGGTGTCGTTACTTGCATCGTCATCTTAAATTTCACAAGGATTTGTGGCCATAGTAGAGCATGTAACAAGAGATGGAAAATCACCAAAATGTTTTGTAACCTGTCTAAATCCATATGTTATGGGTTGGAAGTGTAAAATGACAGGGTTTATCAATGCAAGTGCTCTAAAAACTCTAAAACAAAGGATTTTATAGTAAAAATCACTCAACTCATGCTGTCACTGATGCATGTTACAAATTGCAGGTTATATTTTTTTAACATGACCACCACGCTGTTTCACATGGATGTATGAATAGAACATCTGAACATGATTGGTAATATTTTGTGATGGATATCAACGTAGATCAAATGAAGTGTTTTTGGTTCCATTGTTGGGTTACAGAACTGGGGGTAACTATTCCCCTTTCCCTTAATCTTTTTCCTTGGATTGTGTGGGATTTGGTCCTAGATCTCGCGAGACCATGACAGTGGATTTACCAACGTATGACACTGGCACACGTGAACAAGTTACAATTCTTTTAACCATTGAATTTCATATGAAATCCAAAGTGGGTTTTGCATATCCTGTTAACTGAATTTCAATCACGCACACCTGGAAAATTGGTTCATTATGTTTGTTACCAAGTGCATAAGTGTTTATATAGTTCATGTGTCCTGCAGACAATGGCAGATGCGGCACACCCAGCTTGCATTTTAGAGACACGAAAAACTGCCCCAGGTTTACGTTTGGTTGATAAGTGGGCGGTATGGTTCCCTTCCTTGCTTGTACTCTATAGTAATAATCTGTCCATTGGCTTTGTGTATAAATTTTTCTTGACTTGCAACATTCTCTTGTTTTAGATACTAATTGGTGGAGGGCGAAATCACAGAATGGGTTTATTTGATATGGTTATGATAAAAGATAATCATATATCAATCGCTGGAGGTATCACAGATGCCATAAAATCTGTTGATCAATACTTAGAGGGGCAAAACCTTCAGATGGAGGTTGAGGTACTCTTTGTTTTTTTTCCCTGCATTTTAGAGTCTTCTTACAGATTGTAAGGATCAGAATAGTTTGATAGTGGGATGGAAATTAATCTCCAAAATTTTGTGTCTTGCTGAATCTTGTTAGTTTTGATCTTTCTTCTTCCAAAAGGTTGAGACCAGGACTCTTGAGGAAGTAGATGAGGTGCTACGTTATACATCTCAAACAAAGTCATCCTTGACCCGGATAATGCTAGATAATATGGTTATACCACTATCAAATGGGGATGTTGATGTATCTATGCTTAAAGATGCTGTGGAAATGATCAATGGGAGATTTGAGACTGAGGTAGCACTTATTATCAGCTTTGCTTTATTTTCCTTTTCAATATGTGGTATCTTAGTTTACCAATCTCGGGAATATCAATAATATCTACTTTCCTGGTAAATCTTTGTATCTTGATAATTTCCTATGGTTTTATGGGACACTTTTATAAATTCGACATGTCTGACATGTGTGAACACAACTTTCTGTGTCTATCTTTGTTCAACAGTCATGTAGAAAGCTTTGCAAAAACTTGCCCTCAATTACATGAAAGATATATATATGGCTGCGGGGCTGTTGTGTACTTTGGTAAATATATTAGCATCTGGTTATCATTTGTAATGGTTTTGCTTTTTATGGATACCATGAGTAATCAAGTATGTTATATTTATATAGTTAGACATTATAAATTAAGAAATGTCGTGTCCTCGTGATCAGAATTTCCGGAACTGCTATATAGAAGTCCTTGCCTGTGTGACGTGATTCTCTTTTCCATGTCCTGTAACCAAAATGGAGTTTATCATGATGTTCCCTATGGGAATGTGTTCTCTCTGCTTGATTTCTGGTCCCCTGAAGAGGCAGAATATATTGGTTGCAATTGAATAAAAATATAGATTCCTTTTCATTCCTGTTTTGCATTTTTTAAATGAAATGACACCATAAATCAACATGAAACTTGCCATCTGAAATGTTCTGCAAGAGTAGTTATCATCTGTAGAAGACTGCTCAACTTTCTTGTTCTTATCAGAGCCTTTGCCTAGCTATCTAGGATCTGTCTCATCATCTTGCAGTGTCAATCTCCCTCCTTTATCCTGCCTTTGCAAATCTATTTAACAGCATACTACCATATTATCTTTGTTCTTGTGTTACCAAGTGTGAGGTACGCCATTATTTATCCAGAGCATATATTCTGTATACGAGTTTTATGTTTACATGGGATATGGAGCATATTTTTCGTTCTTGTCAAGGCTAACACTGATGAAACTGTTTCATGTTAACAGGCGTCTGGCAATGTTACTCTTGACACTGTGCACAAAATTGGACAGACTGGGGTAACCTACATTTCCAGGTAATTTTTCAATCTAATTATGGTAGTCTTTCTTCCACCCCCACATCTTAAGTTTTGTTTTTCCATTCAAACACAAAAAGGTGGGATCTGACTGGGATGCTGCTTTACTATATCTGAATTAGTAGTTGCTATTGATCGGCTTTTGTATAGATGAAAGCAGGAATCATATGTATGCAGGTTGAACTGCTTAGTGCGAAACTTGTTAATTTGGTCACTTGATTTTTGCAGTGGTGCACTGACACATTCTGTTAAAGCACTTGACATCTCCCTCAAAATAGATACGGAGTTGGCACTTCAAGTTGGAAGGCGCACAAAACGAGCATGATTTTCTTCATGGTTTTCTTTGTATCTTAATTTTTGCTATTATTCCACATTGGTAAAATATGTTTTCGTCCAGAATACTCGAGGAAGGACTAAGAACTCTCCCACCCTGTCGTTGTAGAAGATCCTCGCTTCATGGACAATGCCATCCTCTTGTTTCGTTAACCTACTTTGTTGAGAAGGCACTGGTCGTACCTGCATCATGGCTGCAATAGAGTTTTTCTTATTGTTTCCTTGTGAGGAAAGTACGTTAGTCTGTGTAGAATTATGCCCATTAGTACCTTTACTTGCATAATAAAGTCAAATGCGAAAAATTCTGGGTTTTTTTGCGAGTTGTCTTCTATATTTTGCAAATCTCTGTTCAACTCGGTCTCTTGTCATTAAATCCAATTTAAAAGGTTTGACCCTCATCGGCTGCTGATACGGCGTTGTAATAAACTGTTCAGCTGTAACTTCGTTTTAAGGACTCAAAATTTAATTTCGTTTTTAAGGATTCAAGATTTTGACTGCGATTGAAATTGTCAATTTTTAGAGAGCATAATGTCTGAATCAACGCCGTGTTTTGTTGTATTTCTGCGATCTCCGTTTATTAGGAATAGACATTGCTTCATCCTCGTCTTTGGGACCTTTGGCTGAGATGTGAAACCAATTTTTCTCCATTTTGACAAGTTCATTTTTCCTTTTTCTTTTTCTTTTTTTCCGTTTAATGTTCAATTCTATCTAGTAGGGTGTCATTGTCACAACAACAATAAACCTAACAAATAAACCTAAAATGGACAATCAATTTTTTTACCAGTAAATTGAAGCTTCCAATTTTTTACACTTTCATCCCCAAGATGTAACTATTCATACAAGTATTATACATGCCGCCGAATACTGATCGCGTTGAATTGGTAAATGCCTTCTTTTTTTTTTTCTTTTTCTTTTCCTTTTAAATCTAGTAAGGTCGTAAGTAACAAAACAATTATCTTGAGCTTCCATCAACACCTTAACAGGAAAATTTATCATAAATTTAAGAATTATAAGACTCTGCACGTATCTGAAATAGTGCACATATTGGGTCCTGCTAGCTAGTACTTGTGCGGGTCATACAGACAAACAGTATTAATGGTTGAAATTCTTTTCGAGAAAGATTACTATCATTTTCTTTTTTTCTTTTATTCTTCCTTTTTCCTTTTTCTTTAGTTGTCATATTTTGTTTTCCAATTCAAGGAGCGCTGCGAATAAAAAACCAGTAAATAGGGTCAGCATGTCCCTTTGTTAGCTAGAAAGGTGGCACACGCCGACTCATTCTCAGACAGAATAGGGTATGGACTTTGAAGGGAGGCCATACCCCTGTAAACCATACTTGTGGACTTAATTACAAATTATATGTTTACAAATTATATGTCATTTTCAATGCAACTTGATGTGGAAAATGTGAGCTTCAATACTCGATTAATCAAATAAGCTTCATGCCATTAAAAATCTCATATGGGACAGAATACGAGCGACATTAAAACTGTGATTTATTGGGAAAGAAGACAGAGCTGTGCTTAGGTTAATCGTTACCCCCACATGCACCTATTTTATATGACGCATAACATCATTGAAAACTGATGAAAAATGGCTTCAGCATGCGTTTTTCCTCCCACCAGTGCTGGCTAGCAGCCAGCATTGAAAAAACGATTCCTTTTGGATAACAATTCCAACTAATTATATCGTCTAACTAGCAAATAGATTTGTCTTGACCTTTTTATTTATATTATTTTGTTCTGTCTGTCCTCCGGTTTTGATTAATCTTTTTTTCATTCTCTTATCCTCATACTCGCTCGCTCTAGCGAAGTTGGTCATAATCTTTTGTTGAATAGCCCATGGCTTTATCTCAAAGTGGTAGGGTAGATTGAATAGACCGTGGAACGGGTGGAAAGAGGTAGAGGGAGGTAAAAAATAATGTTAATGAAAATGGTATGCAAACTTGCTGCTTTACTTTCTTTCTTTCTTCTTTTTTTTTTTTTTTTTTATAATTAATATCCACTTCTGTCCAATAGCAAATCACCTGGCTAACACTTATGTGGGCTGTGCTAGCTAGCTACCTATTGGCGTGGCATGTCCGTAATTTCTTTGTGAAGCATCAAAATTGGATATTGCACACTGACAAGGAAGGTGGGAAACATGACAGTAAAACAACAACCATCCACCGCAGCCATTAAATGCATCTCTCATTGTATAAGGAGAAATTAAAGTTACCATCCTTTTTTGCTTCGAGTCTTCAATTTGGTAATCAATGATGAATGCAAGTTCCCTTCGAAGTGGTAAAGTGATGTTTTAATTTTTTTAATTTCTTTTCTTCATAAAAACGAACTCTAATTTTTTTCTAAAAAGAAAATACACTTGATATTAATATTAGCTGAAGTATAATTCATTAACAAATAATAGTATTAAAATTAAAATTTAAACAATAGTACAATGTAGAATTTAGAGCTAATATAATAATATTATTGCTTAATCTAGCCATTAATCAACCGTCGTAACAGACAAAGGGAGACCCGTAATTTGACCATGGTGATCTATGGATTGTTGGAATGGCCACTGAATTTGTGCATGCTCCAAAAAGGTCATAGGTTAAAGAGTGTGTTTAAATATCAATATGTACGACCTTTACAATAGATATAAATGTCCCCATCAGTATGGACAGTGCCTCTTAATCAAAGGTATTAAGGAGTCAATATCAGCAGTCAAATGAGCAGACTATTCATCTTGTCTCGAACATCTCGTTTTCTTTTTAATGGATATTGGATGTGTAGATGGGGCAATTTATTTATTTTGCCTTTGCAATCGGGATTGAGTAGATCTCAACCACCTACGTGCTAGAAGCTACATACCCTAGGTCGGCATTCGTAATAGTAGTACTTGTACATTTTGGGACAGTGCTTTGTTTGTCTTAATTTCATCGTATTGAATTTAATAATTAAACTATTACACGATTACTTTCAAAACATTTAAACCTTAATTACCGAACACAACCTGAGTCTTTATTTATGGTTTAAAATGAGATTAAATGTTAATGGTTTAATTTTTCTTCCAGCTCAAGGCCAAACATTATTAAATGATGTGGATGTTAATTCTTTGACAGACATCCTCCGCTTAAACTAAAAGTCTAAAGCCAAACATAACCTAAATGGTTCCAGACTTATTAAGCATTTCGTTTCTTGAGGTGACTGGTAACTTTCGGTTGACAAAAGATCCCTCCCTCCTTCTCAAGGCAACGTAGAAAGGCAAGCAAAAGACGATATGCCCTGCCCCGTCTTTTCTAACAAACAAACCTTCTCTCTGCAGGCATGGTTTTAACAGTCCTATGGCTCCATCGCATGTTTTCCAAAATCGAGAAGTTATGTAAACACTCTGTTACTAAATCATCATGGTTTTCGTTACCGTTGTTGTTAAAAATTTTGCAGGAAAAAAGGAAAGTAAACAAAAGATGATGATTAGAGAGGGTCTCAAAAGATAAAAGGAGGAGGTTTATTTTGAATACAATTATGAATTTAGCCATAGCACTGCTAACTTTCAAAGACCGGTAGTTAACAGGAGGGTTTGAACTTTCGTAAAGAGAGCAAGTACTGCAGCAACCAAACCAATAAATATACGAGCCCATATTTCCTCGTCCAATCCCATTGCAACCTTTTGAATTGTAATCTGCAAGCAAGCAAGCAAACATCAATGAGACCGTACAAAGCAACCTTCAGGCCTTATCAAATTAACATTTTGCTTCAGCAATTTCACGAGCATGATTGAGATATTTACCGACTGATTAGTAAGAAAATTGAGAACGTGATTAGACACTACGGCTTAGTGGGAATCTTAACGCCCATCACATCATTAAGATAATCCATTAGACCATATTTGTTTTTGTTGACAAATGCAAGCGTAACATATGTCTCTAATTTCTAATAGGAAAGGATTCATTAAAATGAGGGGCAACAAACATTTCGTAAATTGTGGGATTTAATACCATTGAATGATACCTAGAAAGCTAGTTATGACTCATGAGAGCCTACGATATAACGCTAGTATAACTTTTTGGCATAGAGGGCTAATTTTGTCCGATGGGTGGATTCATGACGACAACATTAAATCACCATATGCCTAAACAATCTTACTCTTAATTAATCCTCAAATTCCATCTGGGTCATGTCACACATGTCCTGAACGTGCCTTTCCAAGCATTATCCGAATGGCAACTTGACCATGGGGATTATCAGCAAAATTTAGGGATATTTTGGGGCCTTCAAACAAATTTAGGCAATTGGCAATTGGCAATTGGCAAACAGGTAGGCCTTTTTTTTGCTTAGGGCAGAGGTAATGCAAAAGGCGGACCTTTTTCTACCCCTAATTTGACAAGATCATTATTTATTAGAAAGCAAAGAGACCATGGATTAAGAAAAAAAAAAAAAAAAGACCATCCAAAAGTAATTTAACAAAACAAAACATAAGGCTCACATGGAAATGAGTCATGAATGATGATGATGGAGAATTGTCCATAGGGGGCGGCTCGTACCATACTGATCTACATCCTATATCTTTAGTGACTATACGTGTGTGGAGGTGATGTAGCTTTCTACGCCAGTGGGGGTAGTGTGTTAAGAAATTCTAATTTGGTCATATCCCTAAAAGCCAAAGAAAAAAAGAAATTAGGGAGTGCAAGAATTTAATTATGCATCAAAGAAGACGTCAACGAACAACAAGATAAAGCACATAGAAAGCGAAAAAATGTGGGAAAAAGCCTCCACTTTCGGCATACCCCTGGCAGCACACACGCATCTTTGGAGATGTTGTCTTCTCACCAAACCAATTCCCCTGACTAATGGTACCAAACCACCTTACCTATAAATGTTGCATGAGACATGCCATCTTATACCATTTTCTTTCTATAAAGTCAGAATTTGGGTATTCCGGCTTTAAATCATTGTATTCGGTTAACATCAACATTATTCTCTTTTACTAACGAATGAGGTGGTTCATTAA